GCCCCCTCGACAAAGCCTCCCGAAGGGCCGAGAAACGGTCTCTCAGTTGTACCATCGCACTGCCAAGCCTATCCACGGCCGCCACCCATGGATGACAAACCGCGGTGTTGGCCATCACCATACGCATTGTAGCCATCGTCACCCCATTGTCCCCGGGGCAGTCCATTAGCACCACGGTTAGCCGGGCCACGAGGCAAACCCGTACCTCCAGCACCCACGTTGTCAGACTGAGGCGGTGTTGCATACGTCTGCACCGGCCCAGGCCATTTTTGCGTCGGCCTCGCGACGTAGTGGGGGGGCGGCGCAGCCTGAGGCTACTGCCCGTGCGCCTGAAATTGGTTGCGGGAAGGCGCGACGGCAGGCCCGTACAGTGGCGGCCTTGGCCCTTACACGGCGCCGCCCCGTCCTGCAGCAGCCACCACAACCGGGCCCTGCGGTGATGGCCGAGGCCCTTGAGCAGCACCGCCCCGACCCACGGCAGCCACCGCAGCCGGACCCTGCGTCGGCGTCCTAGGCCCTAGCTGGCCCCCATCGCGACTTGCAGCGGCCAGCGCTGCATCGGCAACCACCGGTGGTCTAGGAGCAGGCGGTGCCGCGGCACCACGCCCGACGCCAGCAGCCGGCAGTGTCACACCTGCACGTCCAGCGCCGCGGCCGACGGCTTCTTCCCCGGTGGCGCACCAGCCCCTCGGCCAACCATGGCCACAAGGGAAGGGATACGAGCGGCACGCCTCGGACCACACGAAGGGAAACCCGGCTTCGCACAACGCTAAGAAACCCTAGCGCACCGCGATAACGAATGGGATGAGCAGCGATCGAAAGATCTCCTGCATGTGTCGGCGCCTCCAACTTGGGTGGGAACCGGTTTAGCCAGGGCCTCATACCCAGCTAACCCCGGCCCACCCAATCGCGGCCCATGCTCACTCAGAACTGGCCCGTCTCGGCCAAGAAGGAAATTCAAACGGATCGCACGAGCCGCCATGATCCCGATCGCCAGCTTTCCGGGCGTGAACGCCGCGGTCGCCGCCGGCGCCGATCTAGCCACCGCCTGACGAGCGTTCTTTCTCCTCTTAACTACTATCCACGACTCCGGACGAATCCTATCGAAAAGGGTTAGGTTTGGTAGACTTACCTTAGGGAGAGGACCCTTCCATGGCCAGATTGCCGTCGCCGCCGTTCTCCGATGAACCACACGACGAACCATCTCCTTCTTCTCTCCCGCGTGAAGCCCTATCCTGGCCGGATCATCAGGGGGCAAGACCTTGTCGACAGTCGTCGCCACTTCCTCTTCGTTATAGCCGGAGCAGAAAAATTCGCATATAAGGTCAGACGGCGTTGCCGACGGCGAAGATGCCGGCGATATCGCATCCGCTTCCCCGTCCGCGTCGTCCTTGTCCGCGACGGCGAGGGCCCAGAACCGGCCCCCGACTCGCCGCCGATCGCCGGAGGATGGGGGCGGTGCACCCGCGGTCACCACACTGGTCGCCCCCGCAGTCGCCTTTCCCATCGCCTTGGTTCCCCTCCAGCTCGTGCTCCTGTTCATTTACCTTCAAGCTTGGTTCGCCGGAGGATGAACTAGTAAGGTGTTGTTATGATCACCATGTTACGTTTGACATTAGAATAACCATAAAGTGCATCGTTCAGTATGAAGTGACTTGATACTCTCATGGTCCAAGGAATTATGCAAACTTTTAACTCTATTGTGCTATCGACTATTAACTTCTTACGAAAGGATCTCACAGTATAATATATAACCAGAGTCAATTCAACACAAGTGTTCTTCCAACATTGTGCCCCTAAAGTTTCCGACATCCTTTGTTACACTTAATGTATTCCTATGATCAAGAAAACAAAACAATCACTACAGATAGGCCGGCAAGAACCTACGCCATCTTACCCGACACTGTCGAGATAGGGAGGCTAGAGGAACCTTCATTTCGAACCAACAAAACGCTGTTACATAACCCTGCTAAAAGCCTCAAAGTGAGAAAAAACTAGAGCTCCACCTGGTAGACCGTAGCCGCAATTGTAATTATATTGTGAATTTTAGAATCACTTATATATTTGTATATTATTAAAAAATGCTAATTTTTCGTCTTTTTTGTCGAACATAGTACAAACGCAAACGCTCATATAAATGCGCATACATTCACCTCTATAAACGCGCACACGCATATCCTATCTTGTGAGCATCTTCGAGAGACTGAGCCGACATACTATCGTATAACAACAGGATTTGAATCCTTATGGGTTGGGGATATCATTGTCCACCTAACCATCCCAACCACTGGTTCGCGCCAATTTTCCGACTTGCTTGCACAAAAAAGCAATTTTTTCAATGAACTAAAATATATTGTGTTGTTTTTATTAAGACGCAAAAAATGCACTTGTTCACTGGTTTAGCATAAAATGACCCGAGCATCCGCAACGGAAACTTTTTCAGTTTGTTTTGGCACATTTGAATATTTATTTCGAACATTTTGTTAATTTCGAGAGCATATGTCTCGGAAGCCGATGTTGGCGCAGAGTAGTCTGCAACAATTCAATGCCGGGGAGTGGAACAGGCGGGTGGCCTCGTGTTTGACGCCCATTTTTATCTCCGCCCACATTCTCCGTTCGCGCGGATCACTTCATCTTCCTCGCTGCCTTGTCCTTC